TTCCTGCTTCACTGAAGCAAAGAACGCGTTTATTTCCTGGAACATGTAGAGGTTAGTTTCCCAAGCTCCACATGGAGAGGTATTTCACCCCATCCTTATCCCCTCCCCCTCCTTGCTTTATGTCATGAAGACAAGCAGAAGTATTCCTGGAGAAGGAAAAAGGAGTTTGTCTGGACATACTATGCTATTTTTTTTAAATATAATAGTGCAGATAATAATAAAAAAAAAGGGACAAAGCTGTTTCTTTGGTAGTGGTTTGGCTGTAAAATGCTCTTGGAGCCTAGGTGTTCATTTCCTCTTTTCCTTGACTCTCACAATTTGTTCCAATTTAACTGTTTGTACAGCCAAATTCTAGATTGAATTTGCACATAACAGGGCAATGCTGCTGACTGTAGATAGGGTTCAGAGTCACAGATTCTTCTGCTTAGAAGGAAACCTGTCCAGAGGCTAAAGGATTCTGGTGATGCTGATGCTGTTCTGCATTTTGAATTGAACAATACAACAAGAACCACTTGTAGGAACAGCTGACATAGCCAAGCTGATAAAATAATTGTCTTGTTTTAATTTTAACCTGTCATTTTCTTAGGACCAAAGGAAGATAAAGAGTATAGTTTCTATTGTTTTTCTGTTTATTTGCCAAGACAGACTAGCTGAAAACAATCCTTGCTCAAAGAAAGCAATGATATCTTTGGAAAATCTGCTCCTTATCCCCTTTCCCACATCTCTCCTTCAGTAGTGCCACCACAAGCGTTTGCAGGTTAACAAACTAATTATATTTTAAAATAGCCTTAAGAAAGGAGTTATTTTTATATCATGGATAGATTCAGTCTCACTTACTGAAAAGTTTCTTTAACAGTTTAAGCACAACCATTGGGGCAGCACAACACTGGACTGAGCAGACAGGAGAGTAAACTCTGCAAGCCTAAATTGGTGCTAAGAGAAAAAAAAATAATTGAATTGTATCTATGTCACTCTCTCTCTGTTGAACTGATACCAGTTTGGGACAGTCTATACCACCTTCCATTTCAGAAATTACATCTTTGATTGATGGGGTTTTCACTCTAGTTCCCAGAACAAAGGACTCCTTTTCTGTCATTCAGCTGAGAAAAAGTCTTCAGGTGAGAAAAATGTCTTCAGTTTAGAAAGTGAAAACAAAGTAATTTTAGAAACATTTTCATTAAAATTAATTAATTTAACTTAATTAATTAGGAAAAAGTTCTTTACTATGAGGGTGGTAGATCACTGAAACAAGCTGTCCAGAGAGGTGGTAGAGGCCCCATCCCTGGAGATATTCAAGGTCAGGCTTGACGGGGCTCTGAGCAACCTGATCTGGTAACATTGTCCCTGCTCACTGCAGGAGGGTTGGACTGGATGATCTTTAAAGGTCCCTTCCAACCCAACACATTCTATGATTCTAATTTCTAAACTAATGTTTAGATGCTGACCCTATATATAGGATTGGTATTCACAGGTTATTTACCTGAACTAAGCAAATCAAAATATAACTATATCATTTTGCATTTAATTTTCTGACATCCTAAAAACACACATAAGTCATTGTGTCCCCTTCAAAGTTTACACAAAGGTGATAGCAATCCTCCTGCCCTTTAATACTCTTTACTTGTTCATTACAGAATCCTTTCAACTTTGCCTCTAGCAACTCACAAACTCATTTTTTCCATGAGTAAATATTTAAACCAGATCTGTTTTAAAATGTCTACAGAAAGAAAGAAGATAAAAGCAAGTATTTAGATTTATAGCTAACCGGGTAATTATCAACTGCTACTACCACTGAAAGAACTTCATCCATGTCTCAGCTTTAGCATGAGCCTTTAGTCCAGGTAGGGGGCTGAGAGTCTTTGTGCCCTTATGGTAATGTTCTTAAGCAAACAAAAGATTGCCACACACCTTACAGGGCAATTAATTCATTGAAACCAGACATTTAAACTTTTCCTTTTCATCTGTAATATAAGAGTTAGCTGCACTAATATTTGACTTTCTGTTTCACCGTGGAAAGAAAGAAAGAAGGATAAGAAAGGCAGAGAATTAGAACTTAGTTCTCTGATCACCGAGAACTTGCCCTATACACCTAATGGTCTGTCTCTCCTTAAGTTCAAGTAATGCAGTTTTAAACATCTTAACTATCAAAATATATTCATTATTGAAATAAACAACAAGCATTTTCAGCATTAGGTGGAAAAAGCTTGCTTTCACATGCTGTTATTTATACTTCCTTGTAGAATCATGTTTTTTGACTAGTCTTAAAAAATAAGATATTTCCACATATTTGGTATTAAGCAAAAATCAAACAGATTTTAGTTCATTTACTTACTACTGTAGGAATAACTTCCCACGCTGCTCTGAGGAAGGCATGTACACTCTCCTAAACTGAGACACCTTATGTTAGAGACCTGAAGGACCACTACACAAATCCCGAAAAAATACCTTCTGAAAGCCACAGTGACATATGTTAATAATACTTCATGTTAGGATTTTCATTATTTAAGATTTTAATGGTTGGTTAGTATGTAAATAAAAAATATTTTAATGACTTCAAACTTTTTATTATTGCTTCTGTAAAAGCTGGGAATATTTGCCAATTATCGCAACTTGCCAGCAGAAGTCAGAAAAACAAGCAATTGTTAACATTTCTCCTGTTATTTAGTCAAAGGCTTTGTCACAGGCATGAGATTAGGGAACAAAAACGTCTCTAATCTGGATTTAGCATTGCAGCTTGTAACAGAGAAAACGTTCTTCTCCATGGGGTTGTCTATTGCCCACTTAAAATGAATAGTAGCTTCCTAATGGTTCAATGTAGTTCCCAAGCTTAGGCTTAATTACAAAACCCAAATCACTATAAACTAAAAAATTCTGAGTTATTTCCAAAGACTTGGTAACCATTCTTTCTCTATCTTTAAAAAAAAAAAAAAAAAAAAAAAAAAAAAAGAAATCAAAACCCCTGATTTTGGGAACTATGGTAATGTGTGTAAGTCACTGTTTAGTCAAAGCAGAAAGAAAAAAGGGATAATGTCTTCCCTGTCTTCAATTGCACCAGAGAGTAGAATTCATGTTTGAATAGCACGCTTTCTTAGAAGAATGGAACAAAATAAAAAAGAAGAAAAACGGCATAAAATGAATTTATGAGATCTTAGATCAGAACAATACTGTTGCACTTGGATTTCACTAACTTCCTTTTTCAGTAGATTAAAAAGACAATAAAAACTAATACAGGGGATAATACTTAATTTGATCAATTGGTGGGATTGATTAAATGTACATTCAAACTCTGTCTAGAAATCCCTTCTGCACCTCATTGAATTAAGTTATTTCCTCCAGTAAGTCAAGATCAGCATTTCATTCATGACATCAAACCTCATAGTGTTTGCTATGAAGAAAACACTTTCTTTAAAACACTTAAGATATTTTGTTGTCTACATTACAAAAATAGTTGAAAAAATTGAATTTACTTTCTAGGCTTACATGAAACATGGGCAGGAGTTACTGACTTATTCTTTTTATAGAAATCTGATTTACTAGTTTTCAATGTTGCAATCTTTAATAAAAATTAAATCATTCTGAGTCAGAGGTATATAATGAGATTCTCTCAAACCATATGAGAAATGCACAGGAAGCCACTTTTATAAAAACTTTTACTATTAAAGATACTGTCCGAGTCTGGTTTTGTAAGTTTATCCTCCAAAAGGCACTAAAACTACAACGGAAGCAAAACAAGGAAGTCTGGCTCTTTTGAAAAATTGCTATAAGAAATACATGAAATGCTGAAGAATTCTTATTTCATTAAATTTAAAACTATTTAAAGTAGGATTTTAATGCTTTTAATACTTGGTTATATTTTAATTTAGCACAATTAAAAATGAAAGAATGCTTGTAACAAAGTGTGCGTCCTTATTAAAGTAGCATGAAGCATTTCAGGAACTTGACAATTTATTCTTTCTATAAATAACTGTTTAGAATAGGGAAAAAAAAACCTCTCAAAACATGAAACAAACAGGTAAACTCAAGGTTTTCTACAAGATTATGTTGAAACAATTTTATTTTTCATATTTTAAAGTAGACAACAGTAAGTGCAAAAATAAATGCAGTTTCTTTTATTGAATTAAAAACTTGATGGGATGTAGACGATCAGTTCTCTCAGAAGCAGCAGCAAAAAGGCTTCTGTTGTGGAATAAAGGGACTCCTTTTAAAGGGGTTCTATTCCTCTCCTTGGCCAAAAACTAATAAAGAAACTGATTACTCATTTCCTTCTTAATGTATACAGTGCTATAAAGATATTTATCTATATTGTTCTTTCTCACTGTAACCTTAGTACAAAAGTTATTTTTATAGGTATCAACAAATTACCCCTTTTGGGTGTCAAAAAAGAATTCTTACTCATTGAGGCCTACGTGATAGCAGGCAGAGGGTCTAGCAAGACTGCCTTTCTCTTGGCATCGACACAAAACAAAAATTAAAATTAATATGACAACATCAGAAGTGGACTCAAGGCTCTCTAATCATGTGGTATGACAGGAATGTTTATCCCCAAGTGACTGGTCACATGAGGGAACTTTGCAAATAGCGCTGGAACTGCTGAAATATAGTAACAAAATAATTTACTAAAAAGAAAATAGAATTCTTAGTAACTGTGACTGTCCTCCTTTTGCCAAGCTTTCAAGTTAAAGGAGAAAAACACTCTAAAGCAAAAAGAGTTAAACCCACTCCAACAGGAGGAAGAACACTTACAGTGAGGTTCATAGGGAGGAGGAGGATCGCCACAAGGAACACATTCCATGTCTTGAAAGCCTCCAAGCTTAGTCTTCCTATAAAATCTAGAAGATATATGAATGAAAAAAACCAGTTAATCAAAACCAGTTATTTTTCCTCACAAAATTAATCAAGTGTTTTAACAAAATGCTCTAATTGCAAACTTTTGTAAATCTGTGTCCCAAAGCAAACAATCAGAGAAGAGAAGAAAAAAGTAAACAAGAGGACAGTAGACATTAATTAATAGTACAGCAGTAGATCTAAAGTAAACTGAAGAAAAATTCAAAATCTGTTAGTCCAAATGCATAGTCACTATTATCTTATATTCACATAAGAAATAAACAATTCTGGATATTTCAGATAAATCAATATCCTGTTTTCCACACCTCAACATACAAGACAAGTATAAGCTTACATTATGCAAACTTATTTACACGTTTTTGAAAAAATAAAAGTGAACGGATTAATCTACATAACTCTCCTAAAAGTTACAAGTTATTAATTAAAAATATTACTTGGTAATTATCACCACTAATAGTATGTAGTGAACTAGATGTCAATGCTTTTAGTTAAAATCACTGTGTGACAAAATCTGCAGGAAACAAGATTATTCCAATTACTTTGTTGAACAGCAAAACAGTAAAAAAGGCTTTTCAGAACTCAATTTTATAAAAATCCCATAATTCCTCTGTGACTCTTCCTTCTCCTCCAGGAAGATCACCACCGACAACCAAAATCACAACATGCATGAACTATGAATGCAAATTAATGGACTACGAGTCCCAATCCAATTCTCCACTTTGTTTTCATATTCTCACCTAACTGCATACTTTATAAATCCTAGATAGCAAGCATTCCAAGGTATAAAAAAATGGATCTTGCAAACAGAAGTATCAGTCAGTTTGGATAAGCAATAGCAATGGGAGGTCACAAGCAGTAACAAGTGAACGACAAAATAAAACTCTAGAGCAAACTAACCAGCCAGCAACTCATTCCTAAAGAAATGAATGAGAAATATTTTTAAAAAGGCTGTCGTACCCAAGGAAACATTTTATTCCAAAGACCATTCAAGAACTTTACTATTGAGTTTATGTGTAAAGAGCTTACTGAATACAGGCAGAAGCCTACATTCCTAAACCAGGGAACAAAAGTAGCACCAAACGAAAAAACAGAACTTGAAGTATTATACTTCAAATTTTTATGAGAGTATGACATCCTCTAAAGAATTATCTACAACAGCTCCCTAATCAAGCAGGTCTTTCTAACAATCAGTCATTAGTACTAAGCTGGAATCCATAGCTGTCCTTTGTTCAAGATGAGTATGTGAATTAAATATTTTCTGTAGTGGTAGTGGCACATTAAATAAAAGGTATTAGCTGTACTGATGTTAAATTATTAACACTGCAAATGCCATTGAAGTATGAAGACTATCAGCTAAAGCAAACAGCTTCCCAACTGCTTACAAAACTCATGCTTTAACAACATGAACAGAAATAGATTCATAGGCAGTAAGACTGAAGGGGCCACTGTGATCATTTACTCTGTTTTTAGCTGACATGCTTGCTGTAGTGTTTTGAAGCTGAATGATAGGGAGTGTCATGTTGGAAACCCCTGCAAAGCAGAAATAAATGTGATTGCTGAGACTTAAAACATTAGCTACTCTCTTTGGTTTGGCTAGCTATAGCCTCCATTTGCATAGGCAGCATCTAAACTGATGGAGAGGTATGAGCGGTGGCATGTTCTACGGTTCTGCTTCCCAAAATGCTCAGATCAGGTGACCTGAGACTCCCCTACCCATGACTCCCTCCCCCCTCATGTTTCTAACTCTGCTGCCAGTAAAAGCAGATTGTGGTAACAGGTCTCATCTTAACAAGCACTCAATACACGTATCTGGAATATATTCCAGACCAGAATAGTGAGACCATCCCCAGGTTCTCCAGATTAGATTTACCCTGAATTCATCTTTTTTTTCTGGCTTCTTTTTTGTTCCTTTCTCATCTTCCAAAATTTAGTTTATACTGTTTACACTTTAAAAAGAAAATTTTCTCCCTGTTGACAGACAAATAAGCCCTACAATATACACATTTATTTACAATAATAACATAAATCAATCCACCATGCAGCTGCAGGTAGTATCAGAAGTGTTTGAAAGTAACATCTAACACCTAGGGCTGCACCTTCTCATGCTGTGACTTAAACTAACATTAGTTACCAAAGCTTTACTAAGTGTTTTTAAATGAAAAGATCTCACTTCTGGCTCAAGAGCAGTAACTGTAGGAACTTCAAGAGTGTTCAAGTATTTGATTAAGAGAGTATATAAAAATAAAATAAAATAGCTAAGATAGATGAACTTGTGTTATATATCCTGAAATTACAAAGGCTGTTACAACTGCAAATCAGTCCTCATAACGTACTCCTACCAACTAAACTACCAATTCATAGTTTAAAAAAGAACGCAAAATGCCTTTTAACAAATTCATGGCAGGTATTTATAATAGTGGAGCTTGGCCACAATATAAATAATAGCCTTTTAGAGATTGTAATACTACAAACAGAGAAGATTAGCAATAGAGATCTGGGAAGACTGGACAACAAACTAAGCACAGGTCTTGATTTATATAACGAGATGTTCACTGAGTCTCCACGTTGTTATAATTTGTTCCAAAACAGTTCTTTCAGATCCTCAGCCAGGCTCATGCTTTACGAATTCACCAACATGGTGAAGGAAATTCAGAAGCATAAACCACAGCCACTACTTTTGACCTAAAAATATATGTGTATGAGAATTATTAGGCATTCACCTCAAGAGAGGTAAAAAGCAGGAAAATGTGATCAGTCTTCAAGAAATTTGGAAACATACACAGTAACTGTTTAATTCTTTGTAACAACGAAGTAAGTTACCAGTAACACTCAGTATTTTGAAGTGTTTTGCTTAGGTGCTCTATAGACAACAGTCACATAGATCAGATAGGTAATTATCAAACCATTCCTATAGATGAGATAATTAAGACTGCAATTCTGAAATTATGTGCTCAGATCATAAAGCAAATTATTGGTAAGGCAAAGATTCCAACCTAGGACCTTCAAATATACATATAGTGTACAAACATTTATCTGGAAAAGATGAACAAGCAAATGTTAATGCAAAGTAGTTTTGGCTTTGTTCAAGTCTCAGTTTCAGAAATGGACTTACCCTGGTAAACAGTCTCCACACAGCGCATTGCTGGTGGCAGAACAGTTGGCCTTCTGAAATCGGTTAACTAACGCACAGTCCAGGCAAGGCTTGCACTTCTGGAAGCCCTGGTCTTCCTTGAATCTGTTTGGCCTGCATGGCATGCACTGTGCATCCTCCCCATACCCAAAGCCGCATTCCTGTAGGGATTAACAAGCAATAGTGAGCTATTCAATCACTGAAAGCGTGAACAAGAAGAGAATGATGGGATAAAATGAAGACCTAGTGTAATTATTACTGAGAGACTCTATTTCTAGAGACAAAAGCCATCCTTTCAACAAGTTCAAATGTGTCTTCCACTGCTAATAATCTCCCTTACTTCTATAAGTAATACTTAGTCATCCACTTTATTCATGAAACCACTGCGTATTTGAATGATAAAGGGCTTCGAGGACTCCCACAGTTTCATTATTACTAGCTTATGGTAGAATTATTGAGCTGTCTGTTTTTTAATTAGGTCAGTCATGTGAAAGTGCAGAAACTGGGACAAGTGAAGTATAAAGGCACTTACTCAGATTCAAGAACAGCAAAGAAGCACTTTGATATTAAGGTTCATAGCTAAGGTGAACAAAGTTAATTGCCAAAGAGAGTGCGCTGATCTTCAAAGGCTTAGCATTTCTGTTACCAAATAAAACAGGGCCAGTTAATGACCATCAGCAAGGCATGAAACGTTGCTTAGCCACTAAGAATTTCAGAAACACAATCCGCTCCAGTTCTAACAGTTCATAAACTGTTGGAAGAGTTTAATAGCTCTGCAGATCACAAGGAGGCATAATATTTTACTATACAAGGAATATCATTATGGGTGGTTATTTATCCCAAATTTAGCTGTTTAAAGAAATTATTTCCATTCATTTGAAAAAAGATACCTAATAAAACTGACAGGCTGTGAAGAGAAATGCTTCACCCAACAATATGTGATAGTTTGAGGATTGAATTGTACAAACTGATTATGAAGAACTATCAATCTATTTCATTTTTATGTCACTATTTCTTAGAGTTACCACGTTACTAAGAGTTGCTATTCTCTTATCAACACAATATCCTATTAGTTTTTTGCAGTAATTTGGAGTTAGATTTGATGCATCACTGACACACCACAAAACAGCAAAAGGAATACAACAAATTGCTGGAAAGGACTTACTGGGAAGGGAATAGGTGGGAAAGATACAATGTGGAGAAATCCTTCTCTGGTATGTGGTCTCAGTGAAAGAGCAGAACAGCTTCCAAGGGGGAAAAACTGCAGGAAATCTTCAACTAGGATAACTTAAAAGAAGTTTTCCATCAGTTTCCTCCACAATAAGTGCATGTTCTATGTACATAAAGAACTTTTTCCAAAGTCACCCACCTAAGCAAATCTGCTGCAGTAAAAGCTTTGAACCTTAGAAAGGCACTTGGGATCCTCCAAGGTTTTGCATGGAGAAAGCATCTATGGAACAAGCTCTGTGATGGAGTTGACCTAAATGTATTTTATAGTGCCTCTAGTGTACAATGATAAAGTAACAATAAACAATTTCAGATACATTTTACTTGACACTTCAAGAATTTCCATTTTCATTAATTTCATTGTTAAGAATATCTTTACTGTCCTCAGAAGAACAAGCACTCAAGTACACACAAAATGAATAACTCTTAAGAAAACAACTATAAATGGACACTAAAAATAGTCTTCTTTCTCTGACTCTAGAACCAGGAATTAAAAAAAAATAAGTTTTAATTTTTTAAATTTATTTTTATTTCTTATTTTTAGATGAAATATAATTTCTTACTATTGACTGTTATTCAGATTAAGGAGCAGACAGACAGATCATTGCAGTTAGTAACAGAAAAAGCATACTACATTTCACGCACCATACAGCATGCTACTCCTGTGAGAGACACTAGTAAAGCTGGTGGACAAAAGAAGATAAAAATTTTTTGTATTTTTTTTTTTTTTACATTTACCTCAGGCATATAATATTTTCTACGATTTTATTTCAAACCTACCAGCTTCTGCTAGGAATCAATGCCAAAACAATGGAAGTTCTAGCAGTTCGTTTTTATGTCACCTAAAAATATCATAATGTGTCTAGTTTTATACTCAATTTCATCTACGCAATTGTAGGACTGTATACAAAGCTATATGATCATCACCAGGGACTGGAACCAGACTAACATCTCTTAGGAGATTTTGCTTTTCCTAAGTCTAAATAAACTTTTTAATTGAATCTCATTATTCTTTAACACATTCTTTCTAAGTACCTACTTACTCTTTACTCTTTCTGTTTAGAGCATCCATATAGTAGCGTTACAGGATATATTATATAGCTCAAACCATGTATTTTCATATCTTTTGATAAATCATTTGGAATCAGTCCCTCCCAAGTCCTAGTCAGCTTTCAAATATAAAACTTAAATTAACTTAATTAAAAGTTTTCCTTTCCAGACTACCTCTGTAGTTTCTGATTAAAACAAGAAAACACCAGGAAACAAAGCTAGAATTAAATGCCTTCAACTCACTAGCCCAAACTAGCAGAGCTTGAGTAAGTTGTTTCTAGCTCTGCAAGTGATCTGCTTTGCTATAGTTGGACGTATAGACACGTCTTAGTGGTTCTTTGTAATGTGGAATGGTTTATTTTAAAGCTATAAAAGTGGTGGATGCAATATAAAGAAATCTTCTGCCCAAGGAATTTTTAGTCTCCAGTCTTCCAAAGATGACTTCTAAGTCCTTGCCCGGAATTCTGCAGATATAATCCATAACAACTACAACTTTATGTATGTACTTTTTATGTTCACATAATATTTGAGGTAGTTAACTGCCTGGCAGGTGCAAATAAATATTTAAGCTTGTAAACGAGGCAGAACTTCAAACAGATCTGTACTCATAATTAACCACATTCCCAACACTGAAGAACATGATTTAGACGATGGATTCAAACCCTTTGAAATCTTGGACTTTAAAATTTAGCAGTCCAGCAAAGACACAAACAATCGACTGCTCATCTTTTATCAGTGCATATGCAAAATTGATGTGCACCAGTTTTCTCAGTGCTCTATTTACAAAACTGACAAGTTATGTGGTGGATGAGATCTGAATAGTTTCCAACTCCTCTCACCCTTTCTATCCTCCCACTCATATTTTTAAAAGAAAGCTCATCTCCTGTGGCAGTTTACCTCAGGACTGCAGAAAAGAGAAATAAAACTTGTAACATCGGTTAACTAGATTAAAATAAAAAAATTGTGACAGAAAAAAAAGAGGTAATTATATACTCTATTTATTTCTCCTGTTGTGAAGTGTATTGTGAAGAGCATGACTGCCTTTCCTTTTCCCCTTTTCAATGCTACCATCAATGGTATCAGGCAACATTAATGAAAAAAATTCTCACTTGAATGATACACAGTACAAGCCGTGAAAACCCAAACACTAATTTAGAAACCTGTATTAAAATTAATTTTAAAAAAATCCTCAAAATTCAAATGCACTTCTAATTTCTGGATATTTATACAGCTTTCACTATCACAGCATTGTGACATCTGATTACAATTAATGCATGTATCCCCAGAACAACTTTGTTCAGAATTGGGTTTCACTAAGGCATCAAGCGAGATGACTGGTCAAGGCCATCTAGGAATCTGAAACTAAGTTGTGAGTTTAGTTAAAAGTATACAATAATTCAGACACCTCAAAGTATTACCTTGGCAGCATTAACATTTTCTTTCAGTATATACTACCCAAACACTGATTCAGACAGAACAACCAAAATTACAGCAGACTATAAAGGATAATGGAGTTAAGTGGTACGGTTTTTCCCTAAAAGTTGAATGCAACACAAAATAAATGAACAGTAAATTAGATTTTAAAAATTCTTTCAATTAAAATAACCTCAAATTTCATTTAAAAAATGCTTTCAGACATTATTAAGATAGTAATCTGCAAGTAGCTTCTAGAATTTGTTTCTAGTTCCACTGATTATCCACAACTTACCTAAGTCCCTAGACAGTACTGCACAGAGAAGTTCTACTTAGGCCATGATTATTACAAGAATATTTGGGTATTCTCAAGCAAAAGCCTTCCAGTCATTGAGACACTTTTAATTGATGTCAGGTCATATAGCAGGTTGTAGCTGGGAAATTAAGTTTTTAGTAATACCTTTGAGTATACGGCCTTGTTAAATAGCACACAGTTTTAGCTTCCAAAAGTATGTTAGGCTGTGGATCAGCCTCATCTAATCCAATAAACAGCCGTATCTATCACCAGAAGTCTCTGTGCAGGACAGGTTGCAAGTCTCCAGCAAAATCTGACATGTTTGCAGCACATGACAATTGCACAAGGGCGATCCCCTCGCTTGGCTAGATTGTATCTCACTTTCTTACCACTTCACACAGTAGCCTGTCTTGGATTTTATGTTCTAGAAACTGTTGCTGTGAGTCTTATGTTAAATATATATATAAATATTAAATATATTAAATATATATATATAAATCATATATATCTATGATACTTTGCCTTACCTTAGCAATTATCAAGCTGCCTCTATCCCACAGACTCACTGTACAGCAGCACTCCTTTTGTGACAGTATTCATCATCACATATTGGGTGGCAATGCTGGCTTAAGGCACTTTGCCTTTCATCTCTCCTTTTTCTTCCTTGTCATGCATTGTCCTCAACTGTACTGATAAAACCAATTATGAGGCCAAGCTGTAAATCTGTCTAAAGGACTGATCCCGGTTAAAAGTGATCAGTTCAGTGATCTGTTCCACCATACACCCTAAAAATTTACTGTGTCAGCATAATCGTCCAGACAGGACACTGTGGAAATAACTTATCATTGCTAAAGCTGTCATTTCAATGTTTCTGAACTACAACCTCAGATGTGATCTGTTGACAAAACAATTTGGAATTACAGTTACAGTTCTGAGTTGCAATATAAGCTTGATGAGGCTGACATATGGATTGCTTTTCCATATATAAATAAATTTAAAAAACCCCAAACATGGAAGCTAGAGAGAATTATAGAATTTTTTTTTTTTAAGGCAAATTATGGTGAAACAACTGGAAGGACTCTCATGTCCATACCAGAATGATTTCAGAAAAAGGTTGATATCCAAACTATCCCAGTTTATTATTTCTGCATTGCGATTTATATAAATTTGAATCATATACAAGGTTTGATTTATACAGAAACACAAAAGCAAAACAAACACATACAGCAAAAGCTAAAGAGAACAGTCCAGATTCACAACTAGTTACATGAAATAAGGCTGGGGTTTTTTGGTGTTTTTTTTAATCTCCTGCTATAAAAGATGTCTGAATTTGCTTATCTCTGCAGACAGGAAGATCAATCCAACAGACTGAGCACTAGTTTGCAACTAAAATTAAACACTCCTCATAGAATCACAGAACAGCCCAGGGCGGAAGGAACCTTGGAAAAACATCTGGTCCAACCTTTCATGGGACAGGGAGCCGAGATAAGATGATCTAGCACCCTGTCCAATCGCATCCTAAAAACCTCCAGGGACAGGGGCTCTACCACATTCCTGGAGAGGTTGTTCCAGTGAATGATTGTTCTCGCTGTACAAAAAAAAAAAAAATCTTTCATAAGAAAAGAGATAAAACCTCTCTCCTGGTAGAACTTGTAACCATTGCCTCTTGTCTTGCCCATGTGGTCCCTTGTGAAGAGAGGGCCTCCATCCTCTTGTTCCACTCTGTGGCCTCTGCCTACTCTGTTCCACCAAAAGCTTCCTGCTTTACTATAGGTTAATTGACTTCTGTGCTAGTATCTCATGTATAAACTAAGAAAAGGCAACAAAATTTCCCCAAGATAGATAGGTATTATGAAATGCTCACATAGCATAGCAACAGAAGTCATAAATGACTCAATTTATTAGTTGTAAAAATAAGTTTACATACACACACGTATGTATACACACACACACACATATATATATACACACACCCACTCTGTACAGGTGGTGTTTTGCCTTGCACAGTTATCCACACTGTTAATGCAAGTCTGTGGTATATCTGAGTGGAACATGGGAACAGACTGGACCATCACACTGGACTTGATTTGATTAGGCTTTAACCATACCTTAAGTCACCTGTGCAGCCTATGTTAAGATTCTTAAGTCTGATCTTTAGGTGTCACTGCGTCTCCCCTTAATTGTAGGGACAACTAATAACTGTTGACCTAACTGGGTTTTAACCACAATAAAAATACCATTGCATTTTTATTTATTTTTTTAAAGCCAAACAACAGATATCACCATTAGGTAACAATGTATTAGTTTGTGTTTCCATAACATCATGTACCCAGTTTAACAAAGGCAAAAGGAAGAAAGTACATGTACGAGCGTACTTACGTTCAAAACTGATGCTGATCAATTCAGTGGCAATTTATTTAAGTCATAGTACCCATTTGTACCAGGGTACTGATCTTAATTTTTATCTCAAGAACTCCAGTTTTCCTTTCATAGTGTTTAGTCTACAAACTCTACTTGGCTTTTGAAAGGAACACAGTTCCTATTTTTGTATAGTCAGCAGTAACAAAAAAAGAAATTTACAGAGTTAGATTGTAACTAAGATGAAGTAGTTTCTCATAGGAGTGAAGTGAGGGCTCTACAGTCCCTCCACAGTCTGGATTTGTCTGCTTCAGCTTACTCAGCAGTAGAAATTCTACCTGAACCGAGGTTCGAGGGAAGGAAATAGGGACATACGTTTACATCAACTGTTCACACAGTCCACTGCTGCACGACCCAATAATAGCTGGCCTTTTATAGTCAAAAATACAGGTTGAAGTTTTTTGTTACTAACATAACAAAAAAGAGAAGAATCGAACCAAAAAAAAAATCCACCTATAACATTGTATTTTACTATATACTCAAAAATAGTCATGCTCCCATGCTATATATAGCAATATATCTATTTTTTTCATGAGCACTAAATATTGGATAGGAAAATGCATATGTTATTTGTTATTAAGAAACTATTATTAGACTACAGCATAATTACATCATTGCTTTCTTACATGTGAAAAGACGCAAGCAAACAAAACTTTCTCTTGTAAATCATTAAACCCCTTTTCCCTTTGACTTAACATTGTTGCTTCAAGCTGTAGTTCGGCAAGACTACTCACAAGTGTATTTCAATAACAGCCATAGCATCATATCCTTCGCTGATTCACAGAAAATGGTACCTCTATTTGTAAAGGAAATTATGCTTCCACTCACATTTAGGTTTGCGCAAAACCTGCTTAGTTATTTCAGTTCCAGTGTAGTAACAAAAACAGTATTTGAAAGCCTATTCATGTATGGGAGAAGAAATCACTTACACATTGAAATTAATCAAGCATTCATATTTTCAGAAAAAGTAGTCCTAAGAATCAGGACTATCAGATTGTAAACAAAAACAAAGTAAAAACATAACTTGAACAGTGTCCTATTGCAAACGATAACCTCCCTATTTCAGTTTAGCATTTCTTTATGAAATTGAGAGAAAAGTGTAGTTACTGAGGGCACTCATTTTTACACTTTTTTTTTTTTTAATTTGCCAACTAGGTAAGTACGCTACATCAATGCATATAATACTGCTTTAGTAGGACTGCTGTTAGAGTGTACCATATTTACAAGTGTCTTTATAAATTAAAATACCTGTCAGTCCTCAAATTTAATGCCAATATGAAAAAAACAGAAATATCCAAAGTCTTCAGGTCTCTTCTTCAACAGCATTGTATGACTAAACGTTAACTAACACTGCCTAACATAGAAAGGAATCCTCACTGAAGTGTGACACTATTTCTGTTAATGCAATGAACACTAGCTACAGAGGGTGGAGATATAGGGAAAATGTGTCACTCAATTTCAGTAAATCTCTTTAAACTGCCCACAAACCACAATACTTAACTTATGCTTTTTTCGTAGCTGAATATAGTAAGAAATACAAAGCCACAAGCTGAATGTTTTTTTCTTTTTGCTGTTGTTTAAACACATATGCACACCAGACTTAGTAATGTTTCGTGTTTAAAAATTTTCAAAAATAACATTTCAAATTCCCCCTTGGATCTACAGAACATACTTGCCTAGAAAAGCAATCCTGAAAATTAAAGTTCACTCCTCCTAAATAATACCCTAAATTCATCCTTTTTACACTATCAGTAAAAGCACAAAACAGAGTTTACTCCTCTATATGCAAAGGCATGGGGCAAGGTATCCTTGGGCCCCACCTATCACGCATAGGCCAGACTGCACAGTTATGTCTGGGCCACAGTTTTAGATGCTAGCAATGGGCAGACATAGGTATAGTAGCTGGACACTGAAGAAAGTCTTGTGCTTACGCAAGAAACTTCACAAGTCTGCTCATCTTTCATGGTACCAGCTTGCACAGTCTTTTTTGCCTGACCACTTTCACACCACTAGCATGACACACCTGCTCTCCCAAAACACCCAGTCTCATTCCATGACTCAAAACTCATTCCATTTCTTTCTCTATGGTGATTGAGTTAATGAATCCCACTATATCCCCCCCTTCCTCCTGTTTCAGCTGTATCTTCCTTTACTGTTCTCTATCCTTGTTTATACATAGCACCTACTTTGTGCTGAAAGCAACCAAGATCTCCCTCATGACTTGCATTCAGACTTAGAATTTTGTTGGAAATTTTGCCAAGTAAACTTTCTAGTCCTACTGAACCCCAGCCCATAAACTCAGCCACCATTCATCTCCACTGATTCATGTCTGCACTCCTTAAAAACCTGCTAATTCAAAAACTTTTATGGAAATTTTCTTTTGGAAGAGACGCAGTTAGTCTAAAAAAAAAACCAAACAATTACTTAAGACTCAATAACAATCTTTCCTTCTTCATGATATTAACAGACTTCTGATGTGCTTTTTAGATATTACCATGTAATTTTCTGGCCTCAGCCTTGTCATTTACTTCACACAGTATAAAGATATGGATTAGGTTTACAGCATTTTTAAAGAGTTGTAAAACAAAGAAATTGAGCCTCACTTGAATCCAGCTTCCCAACACAAAGTGCTCCCACCACCGAGTTAGCAAAACCAGAACAATCGCCTATCTCCCAGCAGTTCTAAAGAAATATCTCAGTTCTCATTTGAATCCTATTCTGTATTTACATGATTATGCCTTTATTTTTATTACAAACCATTCTGTTAAGACAAGTTGTTGTCCAGAAGATATCTAAACATTGTCTGTTGTGGAAATTTCACCTAAAATCCAGAACTGATTCTGAAAGTTGGCATTGTAAAAAAAATCAATCCCTCCCCATTTCAGTGATTTGTACCAATCACTAGTTTGAAATTCATTTTTTTGTACTCTCCTTTGCACAGATAGGTTATTCAGTCTTAATTCCCTGCAGTTTTTTTTCCCCTGCCTTGTAGCATTAAGTTACCTTAAAAAAAATAAATATTCGAGAGCTCATACCCAGATCCTCTAATGGTACTGCCTACTTCATTAACTGCATCATTTTCTGAACTGAACATTTTATGCAAGGAGAACCAGAAAACATGGTACTTGAAAAACAGCGTAAGGTTCAAATGCCAAAAATCAAATATTTTCATGTACTTACAGATATCTATTATTTTAACCACATACATAAATGCACTTGCTGGAAACAAAGTACACTGAAGAAAGCATGAGTTGCTCACCTTTGAGAGTTCCATTCCAGGCCCACACTGTTTGCAGAGGATACAGTTTCCAGTGTGGTCCCGAAATTCTTGCTCTCTGCAATCTCCAGTTTCACAAATTACCCTACTTAGCTAAAAATTAGAAAAAAAAAAATTTAAAAAATTAACTCACTGAAATACAATTAATCTGTGTTTAACACGTAATTTATATAAAATCTGAGAAATAAATTCATATTTCTATCTTAAAAATTACTTACTGCATTACCAAGAACTTTAAATGTGGCAGTGAAAATCATTAATCACCTAACTCCAAGTATAGATAAGTGCCCTGAGTTTTAAAGGTTCTCCGTAATCAGTGACTTGCAATAATTTTGCAATTTTTAGACGATCTGATTGATACTTGGCACTTGTGGAGTGTCAAAACACTTAATTGCTTGAACATGAGTATAAGTTCCTCACTTTACTTGACATTATGAGAAATGCACATAGCCTAGCCATTTACTAAAGCTACAATTTTCATAACAGTAAGCTATGCCATATTACACGATACTGTCACGTTACATTTATTTTTTTTATTTTTATAATGATGCTATTACGATTGAATAAACTAAAATCTATTTCTTTAATAAGTATTTAGAGATTTTAAAAGGTCACTCAAACCTTCTGGAAACTTAAAAACCACCCAAAACCTGTATCAATACTATTTATTCTAAATTTCACTATCACTTTATATTTAATGGGCCCAGTGAAAGATAATCCAAATTCTGCCTTCAAAGGCATTTACGCACATATCTGACTGAACCAGAAACTGAGGTTAAGAGAAATACCATAAACAGTAATATCAGCCATGCAAAGTCTCAGTATAAGCACTGGAATCCTACCTAGGAACATTACCAAATCCTATGAGCCTCCTCAGTATGACTTTAAATTAAATGCCTGCATACAGGCTTCCACCACAGAAAGTGCTCTCCACAACTGCTACTAAAGTCTTACTTTGTGTATTAGTCTTTGCAGAAAGACCAAAGCCTCTCTGACAGCTATGAAGTATTAATTACCCTTAGTACTACAGCTTATCTCTGCAAGCCAGAGTTGAAGTACATGTAGTAGGCAATGTAATTGCGTGCTACGCTGTGTTCTATGCATAAACTGAATACTCTAAACTTCTAAACTCTATATATAAGGATACTGTACTAAGAGATGACCACTGCAAATAGCCTAGAATTCCTGCCATCTCCCTGAAGTGAAGCAGCATCACCTTCACAGCACTACATTCACCTGTATTTTCTGTCCTAGTCCAGTTCTTCCCTGAAGAGGCTCACAAGGTAAAATTTTTTAATTGCATGTGAGGAGTAGCAAGAAATTATACAAATCAGTTGAGGAAGCTCATTTTTAAATTGATAAAATGAGTATGTATTTGTCTGCATGTTTAAGACTTCTAGTGTTAGCAGTAATTGGTAAAACAAAAGACACCACTCCTGTCTCCAAAATAAGTTGTTCAACATTCATCCTGAGAAAAAAAAAATATTAATTTTTAACTTACCAAATATGCTAGTAAAATTATAAGCAACTTCAGTTTATCTTCTCCCTGTAATCCTTTAGCATCCATTTCTTACAATTAAACCTTTCTACCTAGAAAAAAAATAAAGAAAAAAAAGAGAAAAAACATTATATTTCACAATGTTATTTAAATTGCAGGAGTCATACATCTGTAGAACTTCATATTATTCAGCATGTCAAAATATATATCTGTTAATGCCATTAAAATATTTCAGATGGATTCTTGGAAGCTAAACAACAATGAGATGCTTTTAAAATCATGTTTTTTTAGAAGACAAGGCAATAGATACAAAGTATCTATAGTCTTAATTTTCAGAAGAGGAGACAGCTATCAGTCTAGATTAGAGAACATCAGCATTTCTAAATCTAACATCCCTAACATGTATTTCTTGCTTGTTAGATGCCCAAGTACACAATCAGACAAAAATAAATTTCTTCAAATATGCCACATATCAGCTAAGACACAGCTGATCACAAGAATGTTCCTTCTGTGGTGCAATGTGGAGTGGAACGGATTTGCCTAGGGGCTAAGTAACCTCTCCGACTTCATTCTGCAATGAACTGGAGGCACACACAGGATTTGTTTCCATCACTTAGCTAAGTGATAGTGACTTCTTAACATGAGTTAAACATGACTGTTTATGATCTGGTAGGCAAAGACTATTATAGAAGATATTTCAGAAAGTATTTCCAAATCATATCCTACCTCAATTATTTATCATAATCTCAGAGAAAGAGGAAAGAACAGTCCATAAAGCCTTCCTTAAATAATTTTTAAAGAAGTGGTAGCAAATTTTTTTTAAAAAAAGACTACGAAATATTTGAAAGCATCATATGAAGGAAGTTCTAATTTGGGGTTGATTTTTTTTATTATTAAATCAATTAACTGCACCCAATCATTAAGAATCTTGTGCTTTCCCAAGGAAACATTTTTTTCTCTGCTTACATTCCTTTTGTTTATTTGAGTCTTTGTGTTAATTTTTGGTTTCTTACTTTTTGGTTTTGTCAACTACCTGGAAACCACGTGTAATTTTCAGTTCAGAAATCCAATCTATATAGCTACAATAATAAGAAAAGAATAAATAAATCCAGCTTGCATAACGTGCTATTTGAATTTGATCCTAATTTACATACCTTATATGACAGTAATATAATATGATTGCTGTTAGCAAGATGTGAAAAATAATGTTTAAAATGTTTCTGACTTCTTGAGTTTAAGGACTGACATTCAATTACACTATTTTAAGTGACAAAACATGTAATTTTTATCATTTAAGAACAGAATAGACTGACAAATTAAAGGATGGAACCCAAAACATAAGAAAAAATATTAAGAACAGCTGCAAAATGCTTCACAATATGAAACTATAACAAGCATAATACACTTCAAAAATACACAACCAAAATGAGCATAAACTATAATCAACACACAATTTCACATTTTACTGCAGGAATACCTTAATCAATTCTAATCACTAAGAAGCAAGTATACTTCAGTGGCACTACTGATATCTTTTAAGATAAATTGTACTTAAAGTGTACAAAGAGGTAAAGTCTGCTAGGAAGAACACAACAGGCAAAGAGGTGTGTCAGGCAGCACTCTACGGGAAAGCCAAGATTACATTTTTATGGTTATTTCTCACTTAGTGATGGTAAAGTTCTATGGGCCAATGGCAATTACCAGATTATATGCACGTCAACACAAGTAAAAAGAGAAGACATACCATCAAGTAGTACAAATACACACACACATACAGTAGTTGACATAGGTCGCTTCTTTTAAACCTGAGGGGAAAAAACCCCAAACAAAAACATAAACAGAGAAACATGAAATGTGGAACCTCAGAAAGAATTCTGGATCCAAATACAACGATCTGATGTAAAAAGTACTGTAAAACAATGGGGAAATGGAAAAGGAGAGTCAACAAATTTTAGAAGTGGCACAAGGTTGCCATCAGAAGCTGACAAACCTAATATTGAAAAAAAACCAAGCAAACAACAAACCACCAAAAAAACCCAAACCAAACAAAAAAAAAGCACATAAGAACAAAACAATTTCTAGTAATAGCACAGACCAAGCAGTTGACAGAGACAGTAAAAATACTGCTAAGGGAACTCAGAAGTTTCAAGAATTGACTCTCATCTACATCTGGAAAAAAACAAGATGGATAAAAACACATCATACACACCAGGTCGAAGAGTAACTGAAGATCTGCTAAGTAAAAACAGATTAGACAAAAAAGAAATTGTGAGACTTTGCACCTCAGTAACCTTGAAAAAATATCAAGAAAGACATAAGGTTCTTGCTGTTGAATTTTTATACAGTTTGGAATGCTACAGAAATTCAAGAGTGGTAATGTTATAAAAAGATCAAAGAAGAACTGAGAATAGCAATACAATAAACATCTCTAACATGTCTACACAACATTACAGAGAAGTAGTCCTGCTAAACAAACTTGACGTCGCTTATATCAAAACAAAAAAGCTAAAAAAGCTAAAAGTCTAAAAGCTAAATTATATAAACTGATTTAACATTAAAAGAATCATGCTGAAATAAAAGGGATTTGAGAGAAAAATTCCCATTGACTTCTTGATTTCATACAATGCTATTCAGTGGAAAAAATTAATGTTTTATGTGCTTTCTTAATTGCTACAGGGGGCAAAACTTCATGTAAGTGTGCAAGTAAAATAAAGCTATACATGTAACTGAGCTGCTTAGAACTGAATGTCAAATGATTATTCCAAGTCATATGAATTTACAGTCATTATAATCCTTAATAGTATTATTGTTAAAGAAATAAAACGCGATACAGTTCTAAAGTAATTATGACCATCTACATAATACTACTAAAAATTTAAGAATAGGTTTCTTTATAAGGTTAAAGTATATTTTATTTCAAATTTTAAGGCTTACTTTTGCTTCTGGAAATAGGCACGTGACATATCAAAAAAGAAATTTAATATAATAATTGGATATTTTAATGTCAAGTATCATGTAGAGTTATCAAAACAAACAATATTGGCGAGCTATACTAAGCCTAATGATCTAAAATATCGAGATGTGGCATAATCTAAACAGTCTGTACTTTTTCTGAGCAGGTCACCTAAAGCACGGAAAAATAAAGAAAATTAAAAACAGCCCTTGTACTTGCCATATTATTGCAATAAAACTGTATTAGCTTTATGCAATGAAGCCACATTAATCCTATACATGTTTTTCAATATCCAATAACCTGAAGATTTAATACTGTAAAAAAGTTAGCATATGAACAATTTATTACAACTAATATTGAAACAAAACCAGTGATGTATTTTTATGTTTGTAACATTCTAGAGTCACAACTGGATCAGTAAACAAATGCTAATTCTTAACAGAAAGCAGTACAGAGTAACAAACAGTATTAAGAAAAAATGCTCGTCATGCTGACAGCTCGTTATTTCAGTTTCGGAGTTGCCATATCTGCTAAAATATAATCTTCTTATAGCAAGTACCTCAAAGACTTTAAAACAGAGGATGAGCATGGAGAAGTACACTGTATTAACACACATTTTGCTGACTTAGGTGTGGAAATTTTATTGCACCACTGAAATATTTTCTGTTTAAAAGAAAATCTACTGCCTTTATAACACTCTTGCGGAATCCAACACCTTCAAACATCAGGAGTTCCAAAACCCTGAGTAAATTTCCAAAAGCAAGTGTTTTAGAAATGGCATCAAACTATCATGGACTTCTCCAACTCACGTACCCATTTTACTGAGCTTCAAATTTGTTGATTGATCATTGTGTGTATGATGTAATCTCATACCTTTAGATCTCCGATATAAGATATCTTCTAGACACTTTGTCTTTTATACTCATTAAATCTTCTGCAATAAACTTGCAGGTCTATGGGCCTTAAACCTCAGTGCACTTCAGTAGGTTTAGTAGCACCATAACATGTTCAAATCATTTCAGTAGATGTGTATAAATGGCTGTGGTATAGTATCATGCAATCATTGTGCTTATTGTCCCGGTTCCTACCAAAAAAACTTCCAAAGACTATATACTGGCTATAACATATAAGAAAGAAACTAAGTGGTGTACAATAAAAAAAACGTTGTTAAGAGTACAAAAAAGAGTTTATTTTCATGACATTTTGATAAAAATAATCCAAATTATTAAGTCACATTAGTAACTCATTGTACTGAAAGCAAGTCCTGAAGGAGACATAACTGTGCTGGCTGCTTATTTCCCATTTCTGTTTCCAGTTTGGTTAAAAGCCCTGCTCAAAAAGCAGACACAGCAGCACTTAATAATAGGTTGCCACTGGACAAATTTGTTCTCTCTTGATATCGAGTGGCATTACACTGATGTCTGTTGGACACAAGCCATTCACCTTGTGCATTCAAGTAAGATCTAAAACTTTATGCCTCTAAAATATGTGTGACCAAATAGAAGTTTAATACATTTAAAGATTATTTGTCCTTGTTCAGATACTCATATTTACAATGCTGAGTACAGTTATCCTCAATTTTATTAAAGAAAACTGTGGACACAGTTTTTTGAGGTCAGTAAATCATTTCAAATCCATCTTTTTAGGTTAACAGTAATACACTTGCCCAAAATGCTCACGCAAAAACATTCATCGTTAGTCATGTAATCAAGATATAGAGCTTCCATTAAGAAATGCAGTTGCATAGCTTTAAGGTTGTGTGGGGCCTACAATGCATATACATACAGAGGGCAATATCAAACAATAAATTAGAAACATATAATAAATGTACTGTGGAAGTATGAACATCCAAACTTCCACAGTCCAAGAATGTCCACTGTCCACTTTGGAGTCCACTGTCCTCCAAAGTTTACTCCTATGTTTACGTGCTTGCCTGAGCAGTAGTCATCATTCTGTTTCAAAGTTAATCTGTCAGAAAAATATTTCTTCCTTCTCTTCAAAAAAATAAAGTTTCACCATGAAAGACATCACCTCAAGACCAAGGTGGCACAATTAAATTATGGCTTACTAGCAGGTTTCTCATATATGTAAGCATAGAAACTCTGAAGACAACATCATCCATTGTCTAAGGGAAC